TCCCTCCCCCCTCCCACCACTGATAACCCTAGATTTCTTCTCTCCCTCTGAAAGAGTAATGCTTACTCTGTTGATTTGTTACCTAGATGATCTGTCCAATGCTGAGAGGTGTGTTCAAGTCCCCCTATGTTATCACAGAGCAGATGCTTCTTCTGTCACTCTGGAACGGGCTTTGTGGAGAGAGAAATCCTCTTCTTTTCTTTGGTCTCTTCTGGTGACTCTCCTTGTGTCAATGCACTCCAATGGCTGGCAGACCATCTGCATGATGGTTGTGATGTCTAGCCACTTTCATGGCAGCCATGGTTATTGTGGTGACTGTGGTGGGCCACCCACATGGAGGTGATGTTTTGGCATGCTCGTTGGCATTGGTGGTGTGTCTGGTTGTGGGGGGATCCAGACCCTGGCTCCATACCTTAGGTCCCCAAGCAGGCCCCAAGGTGCTGGAGGTGTGCCTGGTTTAGGGAGGGGGGGTCCAGTGTACAGCTCCATACTTCAGGACCCCAGGTGGGCCCTGAGGTGCTGGTGGTGTGCCTGGGACAGAACTAATTTTTTGTCCTTTCCTTACTTCTAAAACAGGGAACCTTCCTGTGGGGACCAGTACTTGAGCTGTGTGGTTTAGCTAAATTGCTGCTTTGCTGCTGATTCCCTTGAGAAGGCTTTTTGTGCAGCTCAGGTTTTAATGGTTGACTTTATAGGTACTTCTGGCTCTTCAGAGACCTGGTGCACCTAGGTTGTGTCAAAACTCTGATCTGGACCTGAATCTTTTCATCAAACTGCACCCCATGAAATTCTATATTCCTGACCAGTCTCCTCTGAGTGGTCCTTTGCTGATTGGGGTGCAGGTCAGCTGTCCTTGCTGTGCCCCAGTGTTTCCCTGGTGAGCCTGTCTCCCCCACTACCCATACTCGAAACACTTCTCATGGGAAGGGCCATGTGCCGGTCCCTTGAAATGACTCACTGGCCTCTGAGTGGCTCCTTTTTTTCAGTTGTTGTGGTTCCTTGCTCCTTTGTGGGTCTATGGGAACCCTATTAGTGGTCTTGCTGGCCTGGGGGTCACCAAGGTCCTCTTCTCCCCTGCCACCTCCAAGCATCTGCATCTGAAAGTCACAGCTGTGGCTTTTGCTGCCTCCTGCTCCATGTGCTCCAACCTTAAAGCAGCCATGGAATGAAGTGCTCAGAGTGCTTTTTTCTTTCTCTCACTGTGACTTCTCCTGCTTTCATGCACTGCATAGATCTCTCCTCCTCTTCCCCTGAGCTCTAGAAGCCCCAGCTTGGCTGTTGTTGTTTCTTTATAGTTGTAAATTGGTTGATCTGTGGGAGAGAGTGATGTCGGGGACTGTCTATTCCACCATCTTGACCAGAAGCCCATGGTTGGAACTTTTTTTTTTTTTTTTTTTTTTTTTTAAAAAGATGACCGGTAAGGGGATCTTAACCCTTGACTTGGTGATGTCAGCACCAGGTTCAGCCAGTGAGCCAACCGGCCATCCCTATATCGGATCCGAACCCGCGGCCTTGGTGTTATCAGCACCGCACTCTCCCGAGTGAGCCACGGGCCAGCCCCCATGGTTGGAACTTTTTAAAACAAGTTTCACATGGCTCAGAGGAATACTGTGGCCCTTCTACAGACCAGGAGTGTCCCCTTCCCCCAGATGACATCATGTGTGTCTTTATTCTCTTTGCTCCAGATGGCCCAGACACCCCTACCATTTCCCCCCCAGACTCATCTTACCGTCCAGGAGCAAACCTCGGCCTCTTCTGCTACGCAGCCTCTAACCCACCCGCACAGTATTCGTGGCTTATCAATGGGAGACCCCAGCAATCCACACAAGAGCTCATTATCCCCAACATCACTGTGAATGATAGTGGATCCTATACCTGCCTTGCCCATAACTCTGCCACAGGCCTCAACAGGACCACAGTCAAGACGATCACAGTCTCTGGTAAGTGGATCCTGGCAGCATCGACACCAAGCTCTGGGGTGGAGTCTACCTGGTTTGCAAAGAGAATCCCAGAAAAAATTTCTTTCTCAGCCAGTATGCCATAGGTACAAGCAAAAGCCTAATTCTCCCCGAGTCCCCCGACTCCATCTCTGCAGATTCTCTCCTCCCCTTGACTCTCTGATTTCTCATGGCTGACCTTGGGTCAGGTCTAGAATATTGGAAGGGGGTTCTCCCAGCCTCAGAAAGACCCTTGTAGTGGGAGAGGTTTCAGTAAGGAGGGAAAAAAGAAAGGTCCTCAAGGTCAAGTTTCTTCTCTCTGTCATTAACTCATCAATTCTTTGTTTTCTCTCACCTACTCAATGAGCTACAAACAACACAGAGGATGGCAAGGAGGGAAAAAAGAAAGGTCCTCAAGGTCAAGTTTCTTCTCTCTGTCATTAACTCATCAACTCACCTACTCAATGAGCTACAAACAACACAGAGGATGGTATGTCACCGTGGTTTTGATTTGCATTTCTCTGATGATTAGTGATGTTAAGCATCTTTTCATATGCTTATTGGCCATTTGTTTACCTTCTTTGGAGGAAAGTCTATTCAAGTCCTTTGCCCATTTTTTAATTGGGTAGTTTGTTTTTGTTGTTGCTGAGTTGTAGTTGTTCTTTATATATTCTGGATATTAATTCCTTATCAGATATATGATTTGCAATTATTTCTCCCATTCTGTAGGTGGTCTTTTCACCTTCTTAATAGTGTTCTTTGATGCACAAGTTTTTAATTTTCATAAAGTCCAATTTATCTATTTTTTTCTTTTGTTGCCTATGCTTTTGGTGTCATAGCTGAGAAATTATTGTCAAATCCAACATCATGAAGCTCTCACCCTGTTTTCTTTAAAAAGTTTCATAGTTTTAGTTCTTTCATTTAGGTCTTTGATTGAGTTAATTTTTCACATGGTATTAGGTAAAGCTTCAACTTCATTCTTTTCCATGAATATCCAGTTTTCTCAACACCATTTGTTCAAAAGACTATCTTTTCCCCATTGAATGGTCTTGGCACCCTTGTCAAAAATCATTTGGCCGTATTTGCAATGGTTTATTTCTGGGCCCTCCATTTTATTCCATTGGTCTGTATGTCTTTCTTTATTCCAGTACCACACTGTTTGATTGCTGCAGCTTTGTAATAAATTTTGAAATCAGTAAGTGTGAGTCCTTTAACTTTGTTCTTCTTTGTCAAGATTGTTTTAGCTATTCGGGGTCCCTTGAGATTCCATGAATTTGGGGATTGATTTTTCATTTCTGCAAAAAACATCCCTGGGATTTTTGATAGGGATTGCATTGAATCTGTAGATCACTTGGGGTAGTAGTGTCATCTTAACAATATTAAGTCTTTCAATCCATAAAAACAGGATATCTTTCCACTTGTTTAGTCTTCTTTAATTTCTTTCAGCAATATTTTCCAGTTTTCATGGTACAAGTCTTTTCACATCCTTGGTTAAGTTTATTCCTATTTTATTGTTTTCAAAACTCTTGTAAATGTAGTATTTTCTTTTTTTCAGATTGTATAGAAATACAACTGATTTTTGCATGTTGATTTTGAATCCTGCAACTTTGCTGAATTTGTTTATTAGTTCTAAAAGCTAGTTCTCTGGAATCTTTAGGGTTTTCTACATATAAGTCATGCCATCTGCAAACAGAAATAACTTCACTTTTTTCCAATTTGGATTACTTTTTTTTTTTTTCTTGCCTAATTGCTCTGGCTAGGTTCCAATACTATGTTGTAAAAATGGAGAAACTTGACATCCTTGCCTTGTTCCTGATCTTAGAGTGAAAGTTTTCAGTCTTTCACCATTAAGTATAATGTTAGCTGTGAACTTTTCATAAAAGGCCTTTATTATGTTGAGGTAGCTTCCTTCTATTCCTAGTTTGAGTGATTTTATCACGAAAGAATGTTGAATTTTGTCAAATGCTTTTATTGATTTAATCTCCTTACTAGTTACAAGGCTATTCAGATTTTTTATTTTTTCATGATTCCTTCTTGGTAAGTTTTCTGTTTCTAGTAAATTTTCCATTTCACTTACATGATCCAATTTGTTGGCATACAATTATGCATAGTATTGTAATAATTCTTAATAATTCTACACAACTGGTCATAATGTCTCCACTTTCATTTCTGATTTTAGTGATATAAATCTGCTTTCTTTTTGTATTGGTCAATGAATTTTGCTGATTTTTCTTTTTTGGAAGAACTAATTTTCTGTTTCATCAATCTTTTAAATTGTTTTCCTATTCTCCCTTTTATTTATCTCCACTCTAATATTTATTATTTCCTTTTTTCTACTAGCTTTGGCTTTAGTTTGTCCTTTTATATATATCCCTAAGTTGTCAAGTTAACTTGTTGATTTGAAATCTTTCTTCTTTTTTAATGTGTGCTTTTACAGTTATAAATGTCTTGCACACAATTCGTAACTTCTCTGAATCTCAGATTCCCCAACTGAAAATTACAAGCAGGATTATGAGATGAAATTGAGGGAAGAGTAATCACCAACCTAGAAACATAATGAGAGGAAAAAAAAGATTACAAGGATATAGTTGCCTAATCACCTCCCAGCAGCCTTCCCATAGAAAACGTATTCCTTGAAGGAATAAGTAGAGACTATTCAGGCTGAGTTGTTTCCCAGGGCACCCCCACTGTAAAATAATTCCACCTTCATTCCTTCTCCTCTTTTCTTTCCATGACAGATGATCCAGTACAAAGAAGTTCTCCTGGCCTCTCAGCTGGGGCAATTGCTGGCATTGTGATTGGAGTACTGGCCGGGGTGGCTCTGATAGCAGCCCTGGTGTATTTTCTGTATTTCAGGAAGGCTGGAGGGTATGGTGGCCTTTCCTCTCATTCTGTTTTCTCCAAAGCTACTTGCCATGCTTGGGAGATGAAAAGGACTTCTTCACCTCCGTCTCTGGGTCTAATTCCCTGCTGGCGCTAATTCCTGCTGGTCTTTTCTTCCCGGGTCTTCATGCTCCCTGTACCCCACCGTCTCTTGTACATGGTTATTCTCATCCCCAACTAGGTTAGAAGAACAGGCTCAATGATGTTCCTCTGTCCCCAGCGAAAGAAGCCAAAGTCCAAGAAGAGAAATAAATGAGGAGATGAAAGGAGCAGCAGGAGAAAGTTCTGTTGGCCACAGTAGCAGGAGGAGGGAAGGACAGGACAGGAAGAGAAACTAAGAGAGAAAGAGAAATAAATGAGGAGATGAAAGGAGCAGCAGGAGAAAGTTCTGTTGGCCACAGTAGCAGAAGGAGGGAAGGACAGGACAGGAAGAGAAACTAAGAGAGAAAGAAGAAACAACCGAAGTCCTATGGGACAATAAATAAAGTGAGGGAATGTATTAGTCTGTTTCTGTTGCTTATAACAGAATACCTGAAACTGGATAATTTATAAAGAAACAAAATTTACTTCTTATTTTGGAGGCTGGGAAGTCCACAGTCCAGGGGCACATCTGGTAAAGCCTTCTACGTGATGGTGATTCTGCAGTGATGCAGGGTATCACATGCTGAGAATGCGCTGAGCAAGAGACAGCTAGTTTCCTCACTCCCTCTCCTTATTAAGCCCTCAGAACCACACCCATCACCCCATGAATGGATCAATCCATTCACCAGGGCACAGTCCTCACAATCTAATCACCTGTTAAAGGCCCCATCTTTCAAATACCAGAATTAGATTTCCCTCTCTTAACACTCTTATAATGGGGGTCAAGTTTTCAATACATGAACTTTTGGGGGACACATTTAGACCCAAGCAGGGAAAAACAAAACAAAACAGAATCTACCCCTGGAAAACAAAACAGGAGAGGTCAGGGTAGAAGTAGGTGCAAGAGCATTGATAAAGAATGAACCTAAGGCTGGCTGGTTGGCTCAGTTGGTTAGAGCATGGTGTCATAATGCCAAGGTCAAGGGGTTGGGTCCCCTTACCAGCCAGCTGCCAAAAAAAAGAAGAAGAAGAAAAAACAATGGACCTAAATGTGAACATCCAGCAAACAGGAAAGGAGTAAACACTGGAAGGGATCATGGTTAGATTAAAGAATGAGGCCCCAAGAGAAAAGGCAGTACCATCCACAGTATGAATGAACACCAAGGAGCCTCAAGGAATCATCTACTGACCGTGTCCTTCCTAACTCAGGGAGCAAAGATCCTGTACTTGGGAATAGCAGTCACAGTGTCTGATATTTATTTAGGGCAAGCGACCAGAGTGATCTCACAGAGCACAAACCCTCAGCCTCCAACCACAGTAAGTAAAACCAGCTGCCCATTGAGAACTGGTGTGTTCCACCACGTGCCCTGCCCTGGCAAGGAGTCCTGGATTCCCAAACCACTCCCGCCCTCTGAATTTTTACAGAGGGAGGCTTCATTTCCCAACCCTCAACTGACTTAGGTCCTCACAGCCCTCCTAGCAACAAGAGGCCCCTGAAACAGCCCCAGGTAAGGGGCTCATGCGCCTAGGTCAGGCAGGCCTGAGTCAGATCCCATGTCTCTAGGACCCATTTCCTCATCCTTACTCCTTCCCCCTCCTGCCTCTGTTACGGCTGTGGGCATTCTCCCTTGGTGAGACTTTCCTTGTCTTGTGGGTGCTCTGGGTGCTGTGGGCCTTAATGCCACGCTTGCCACTGGAGCATGTTGCTGAGACATGCCTCTAGGCAAAAATCAAGGCCTTGGGAACTGGTAGAAATTTTCAGAGGTGGACTGAGGCCTCATGTGGCTCTACCCCTGCCCCTGCTCTGGTACTAATGCTGGGTCTGGACCCCAGACTCTGAGGGAAGCAAATTCCTTCACTGACCACGGGCTACCTCCCCACCCCCACCACCGCCACCATCTGCCACCTCCCTCAGCAAGAAATCACAGGCCGTAAGTCAGCTTTGCATTTCCAGAGGTTGATAACTCTTCTTTTGCTTCCCCAGGTCAGGGCCACTCTGACAACTCCCCTTACAAGGTAAGCACAGCCAGTTTCACTGGCTCATTTTCTCATGGAAATGTCTCTGTATAGAATAGGATATTCTTGAAGACTCAAATGTGAGATCAAGGTTTGGGTCAAAATTCCTCAAAGTAGCAATAAAGAAAGAAGTATGGTTAATCACACCCATGAGTCTGCTTATAGCAAGAACATGCACTGGAATTACCCCATTCTGTGTTTGAGTCCTCGTGTGACCCTTACTAGCTCTCTGACCCTGGGCACATAACTTTACCTTAACCTTTTTGATCTTCAGCTTTGTCACCTGAAAAATGGGCATTCTGCCTACTTCAAAGGGAAGTTGAAGGAACTAAACAAGATAACATATGTAAAGCACCCAGCACAATGCCAGCACTGAGTCATTCTCCCCACTCTATGTTCAATTTTGCCCTGCTCTTATCGTCTTGGTTTTTCTGTTTGTTTGTTTGGTCTTTTGCAACTGGCTGGTAAGGGGATCCGAACCCTTGTTTTTGGTGTTACCAGCACCATAATCTCCTAGGTGAGCAAACCAGCCAGCACCCCCTGCTCTCACTGTCAAAAGGGCAATTTCCACTCTAATGGCTCTGAGGTCCTGGTTCCTTTATTTTATAATATTTTACTTGATTTTTCTCATCTTAAACTCTCAGTAGAGTACAGATATATACTAAAAAATGTATACCATAAGTATATTTTACAAAGTGTGAATTTTCACAAGTTGAACACATCCATATAAGTAGCACCCAAATCAAGAAACACTATATGATCCCCCCCAAAAAATACCCTTCCAATTACTTCCTCCAAAGAGTAACCACCATCCTAACTACCAACCCTCTAGATTTTTTTTTTAAAGAAAATTGTATTTATTTAACAAACACTTACTTAGTGTCTACTGTGTCTCAAGCATTCTGCTAGTACTTGTGGATACAACATAAAGCAAAAACACAAAAATGAAGCCTGCTTACAGAGTACTGATTCAGCGATTTTTAGCCTTTAACCTACCACCAGCAACAACTAGAAATTTTAAATTTTAACATGTCTTTATTCTCCAGAATCAATCCTACGAATGAACCTTTCACAACTTTGCATATGAAAGGTTTTGTAAATAAATCCTACCTATTCTTCTTTTTTTTTTTTTTGTGGCCGTCCAGTATGGGGATCCAAACCCGTGACTTTGAGCTTATAAGGCTGTTCTCTAACCCACTGAGCTAACCAGCTAGCCCAAATCTTATCTGTTCTTATATACCCAGTTCAATTTTTTCTTTTCCACAAAGGCCTGTAGCCAAAGTGACCTATATTTAATTTGTACTCCCTTTGGATTCATAAAAAAGTATCACACAACTCAGCACTTAATTGTCCTTGAATAGTCTTGCATGTTAAATTTGTCTCATACCCAAACTGCAAGTCCCTCTAAATTCCTTGCCAATGCTCTAGATTAATTTTGCCTGTTTTTGCTCTTACGTAAATGAAAAAATAGTATATTCATATATGTGTCTGGCAATGAAAAATATAGTATATTCATATATGTGTCTGGTTTCTTTTGTTAAATATGGTTTTGTCAGATTCACCCATATTGGTGCATATGTGAGTTGTTCATTCTCATTACTGTATCAACATATTCCCTTATGAACACCATAATCTCTCTCTTCTAATGACCATTCATCAGGGTGTTAGCAAGCAGGGAATGGGTAACAAAAGCCCTTCTCCAAAGCAAAAAGTTTCAGAAAGGTGACAGCTCTTGGTGCAAGGTCCTGACCTGCGACAATGACTCAACTGATCACCACTCATGCTTTTCAGATGGATGAAGTTGTATATTCTTCCTTGAACTTCAATGCCTGGCAACCAACACAACCAACCTCAGGCTCCTCATCCCAAACAGCCACAGAAACAGTTTATTCAGAAGTCAAAAGGAAGTAATGCAGCCTGTCCTGCTCAGTGCATTCTGGATGTACTACAAGTCTCTCTTCTCATTACTGGGGAATCCCTTTACCCTCAGGGGAAAAGGGTATAAGTCCCCAAACCTCCCCCCACACACACATTTTCTCCCTAAGGCAGCCCCTTCAGACTGCCTGGTCACAGCCCCTCCCTTCAGTTTCAACAGATAAAAAGGTACATCCGGCAGTCTGTAGGAAAACAAACTAAGCTTCCTTGTCACTGAAATTTGGCAAAGCCAACTTTGGGAGAGAGTGACCAGAACCTCCCGCCCCTCTCCCTTTCCCAAACTAGACTTGTTTTAAACTTACCTGTACAAGTGCACTCATTCTTCCCACCGCAATCCTGTCCTACTGGAGTCTAACTTGAATTTGCCATAACCTTGAGAGTTGTGTCCTTTTCACACGTGCCAGAAAAACAGAGAGAGAAAGTAAAAGCAATAATGGCTTCTCCTACCTCTCCAATGCCTGGTGTGAACCAGCATACACAGGAAAATCAAATATATAACCAGTAGCGAACTGGGAAATTCTACACCTCTGTCCACTGTCGGGGTTGCCCACCTGCAGGATCAGGGTCTAAGCACCTCGCTGCTTAGCTAGAATACCACCTAAGCCTTCTGGCAAGCCTGTCTCCAGAGAACCCACAGGAGGCAGTAGGAAAACTATTTGCCAAGGTCTATAGGCAATTCCTAACATAGAATGCAAAAGTGCACGTATGTTTTAATATCTTTATGGGCTTTATTCAAGGAAGTGCTCAGAGAGGAAGGAATTATAGCTTTAGGGGGAGTCAGCTTTTAATGGACACAATCTCTGGGAACTTCCTTAGTCAGAGAGCTACACTTCAGAGATTATTTAACTTATCATTAAAGAATGCAACAATTTGGGGTTTTTCCCTTTTCTCTGAGACATTTCATCATTTTAATTTTTTGAAACTGCTTATGTATGTGAAAGGAATTATTTTTACTTAGCTTAGCTGGGTAAGCCAATCGGACTGTCTCAGGTAAAAAAAAAAAAAAAAAGCCACCAAAAGCCCTCAGGTCCCCTTGGCAAGGAGCCTCTCAAGGCTTTTTCATCAGGGGCTTCAAACAGAAAACAGGAAGAGACTTTCCTCATTCATAGCTAGAAATAGATTTAACTCAGTTTCTAGGCATCTGAGACCAATCATCAGCTACCACTGTTCCATGCGTGTCTTTTGTCCCGCTCACTGTCTCAGGAACCTTGCCTCTGTTAAGGTGTGTTTGGTCCTTGAGAAGTGGGATTGCTCTAAACGGAACACTATCACTCACGCTGATGGCACTGTTTACACCTTGAAAGCTACACTTGTGCTGATGCCCCTTGGGAAACAGGGCTGTTGAGAGAGCGTTAGGACATGAGTAGGGAATTATAACTCAGCCCTAGGCGTTTTGAACAGTCTCTGAAATGTATCTTTTCTCCCACAGGGGGTGGGGTATCTATGAATCCCAATGTGTCTCAGAATAAAACATCAGGACAGGAGGAGAGTCAAATGTACTTCTAAACCAACCTTCTTCTACATAGATGGAATCTCTCAGGGGCTATTAAGAGAAAGGTTTTATTAGATACTGTCTACTTGATCTCGTGCTATGCCTAAGAGGCCTCCACCAAGAGAAATAGTTAGAAGGTCCCTATAGTCACATACCTCTTTCAGGGTTTTCTAACCCTGACACAGATTATATATACTTTCCCTCATCCATGCTGTGCTGTGTTATTTAATTTTGCCTGGCTAAGGCGACTTCTGAATTTTTTGTAAAATTTGGTGTGTATTTATAATAAAAATTATACATCTGACATCAACATGCTGCTTCATGGTTGACACTAGTTTAGACAATACCTTCTTTATAGGCAGAAGAAATTCCTCAGTGTAGTGGATTGAATTGTGTCCCTCCAAATCTCCCTGAAGCTTGAATTGTGTCCCCCAAGTTTTATGTATTAGAAACTTAGTCCCCACTGTGACTGTTAAGAGGGTGGGAGATCCTATTATCGTAACTGGAAGGTGGAACCTTAAAGAGGTGATTGGATTGTAGGACCATGCAGTAGTGAATGGATTAAAAATGGTGGTCAAGGCATGGTTCTGAGGGCTTTAAAAGAAGAGGAGAGTCTGTCTTTCTCTCTCCCTCTGCTCTCTCTGTTTCCATCATCTTGCAATGTGAGACCCCAGGGTCACTGTCACCACCGCCAGATGGACTTTGGACTTCCCAGCCTCAGAAAATGTAAGCAATAAATTTCGTTTTTCTTTATAAATCACCCAGTTTCAGGTATTCTGTTATAGCAACACAAAATGGACTAATACACTCAGTGAGGACTCAGAGTTAACCTATTTGTAAGTCTACAAAAATCTGATCCAGTGATCAGGGAATTAGCTAAATTCATTTGCACACCTGCTCACAAAGTGTGTCCATCTAGGAGCGACAAGCCACAGCTTCAACCTGCCCAGAAGGAACTGCTGTGTTCCTCTAAGATCTCCCAGCCTCTTCATTAGGAGCAAATAACACTTCCCACACAGGTAGCTCCAGCGAATCAGATGTAGAAGTACAGATTTTACTCATGAGGGTCTCCACAGGTTCAGTCACAGAAATCTCTCTAGACCTTCTGTCTCTTCCTTGTTCCCGGTTCCTTCTTTCTGCCCTCGCAGAGGGTCAGATCTCTTCTAACTTGATAACCTTTACTTATTATTTCCACCAAGTATTAACCTATTATCTCATCTCCTTCACATGCAGGAATGGAAACCTGTGTGCTGTCTCTCCCTTTCCTCACGCCCCCCTTTCTCTTGGCCCTCTGCAGCAGTGCCTCCATACCCAAGACCACTGGAAGCAGCTTGAAATCAGAATCCATCTCTTGGCCAACTTCAGACTTTCACCATTCTCACACCTTTCATTTTTACAACATATAAGATCACAGACAACTTCTTCCTCCTTCTGTCCCCAACCTGTGTGTTGCTCTCCCCACAGCAGATTTTGTACTCAGACCTTGATTGTCTCCCTCCTCCCACCTTCCATCCTCAGCTTCAGTGGCCTCTCTGCAGATGGCTCCTGCACTTGGCTTCTATCCCGTTACTTCCCAGGGCTCATGACCCCCACATCCAAACACCATCTGAAATTACTCCTCATCTAAACCAGCTCTCTTCTCAACTCGCTCATTTCTCTCAGTGACATCACCAGAGTCCCCAGCCTCTGCTCTTTTGTTTCCCAGATTCACTACATCATGAAAGCCTGTTGATCCTTTTTGACCATTTCTCAGTTGTGTCACTCTCTCCATTCCCATAAACCTAACCAACCTGGGCCCTCAACAATTGCTCAAAGTACCGATTGTCTCCATTCTCTGTACTGAAATCTTCCTTGCATATTACTGCCTGATTTCCTTCCTAAAAACTAGTCCAACCTCCTCCTCAAGAATCGACAGCCAACATCACTTCCTCCTCTCGGGGCCCTCTCAGTCCATCTCCCCAAGACAGGAAGGGAAAAGCAAATTTCTAATTCGCCAGCAATAAAAATTGGAGGAGGCCTGGCCCTCAGCCCTTGTATTTCTCTCTTTCACTCTCTCTTCCTTTCCTGTTGGGAAAATATAGGAAAAATAGTCAGGGCCCCTCAGATGTTCAGAATCTTGCTGAGCATTTGATGTAAACAGGCATATGCACTCAGGTGTTCCTTGGTTATCGACAAGTGTAATTGCGCATGTGCACCCCAGGTGTCCTGGGTTATGGACCAAAGTATAAGGATGAGCGGCTCTGATCCATGGCGCCTCCCATCCCCGGGATGCCCCCCGTCGGGGTTGGGGCATGGGGAGGCCACTACTACTGCTGGAGGCTGCTGCTGCTAGTGCCCCTGGGACCCTCTGCAAGGCCACTGCCACTGCCGGACCTGTAAGCTGCTGCCGCTGAGGAAGCTGAGGACTGAACTCATGTCATCTGCCAATAGCTCCCAGGATTTTTCCCAATTACTTAGCCTAGACCTGCATGTGAGGGGTCTGGTGACCCAGTCTGTACAATGGGTTTGGAGGGTCTGAGCCCCAGCTCTGACAATGTAAATGGAAACTTAGTATAACTAAAATAATGAAACATTTTGGCTTTATTATTACGTTACGACTTGCCTTACTTTACACTCCCACCCCCAGGTCTGAATTTGGGGGGCAGGGTGGAGAGAGCTGACAACTACTGTGAGCCAGTCCCACAGCCCCCGACCAGCCTCCTCTCATAACTGGTGACTGCTTAATGAGCTGTGCATCCCCCACAAAAACAGGAGTGCCCTTCTGCATGGCCTCTGACCCTCTGCACAGCCCCTTCCAGATGGTCCTCACAAGGTTTGTGGGCTGGGCGGGAAGCCATCCTGACAACCATTGCCCATTCCACTCACCCCTCACTGCACCTGCCCCAGAACCTGGGACTGGACCATATGGACAGGGAGAAGTGTAGGAAAAAAAAGAAAAAATATGAACTGACTCAGCTTTGGGATGTCCAACCACAAAAGAAATGGTATGTAAATATATATAAATATACATCTCTACTATATGTAATGGAAAGACTTTTCATTTCCCTTTCCCAAAGAAATAAAATAGGGAAAGCCTTTTTGGGAAAATAAAAAAGGGTCCAGATCCCTGTACTGGCCAGCTGCCAAAAACATAAAATAAAATTAAAAATAAAGTAAAATTGAACACTTAAGATCTGTATGCATTTCAGTGTATTTTAATTTTATCTCTATTTTTAAAGATAAAATAAGGAAAGGAGCAGTTAATTCAATCCATCAGGTGCAAAGCTCCTGTATTTATTTTTTA